GCAGAACCATTTCTAGTTCCGTGATATGATTTGAATTAATATTAAGTGCACCTACTTGATTTTCAATTAATATACTTTCCTTATATGAGTGCTTATATTTGTCAAGAATATTATTTTAAGTAAAAGTATATTTCTATGCATGTCCACTCTATATATACGTATTTTGGTTATATGAGTACTTATTTGGGTGGTTATTATCTTTCCATAGTTGACTAGACATCCACTCATTAAATATTGTTTAAATATTTTATGGAAAGTATCTTTACTTAATGTGAGTGCATGATCCATATTTTATTGGCTATATACGTAGTATGCTTGTAATTGATTAACAAATATTTTATTGCCTTACAATTTGAAGTCATTATTAGTTAAAATATTAAATGAATATTTTTGGAAAGTATCTTGGCTTGCATGATCTGTAGCAACTTATTTGAATATCTTACTTATATGATCGTTGCATATTCAAATTTGTTAAGAGAACTAATCATTGATTGCATAAATATTTTATTGCTACTAACGTCCGTTGCATGCTTATATTAAGAGAATAAATTATTTCCCTTTATATGTGATGATATATATTCATGTGGAATTATCATTGAATATTTAAATACGTAATATACTTCATATCTTTTTTGTTATGTCGTGATTTACTCATAGTATGCACGTATTCACTTGCTTCCATATATATATGGTTGACCGAGGATCACCATATTGGAGAGCCCGAAGATCTTTGAATAAAAGGAAAGGTTTTTAAATAACATCAAGGAAAGTCCAAATATTCAACCAAGAAAAGGAGAGGCTACGGATGATATATACATTGGACTGAAGATCAGACGAAAGGTGTGTGCTTGACCGAGCTTCTATTGAGAAATATACACGAGAATATTCACTAAGTCCAAGGCACCTGAACCTGCTCACGGAGTTCCAGACAGAGTTTCTTTTTCCCTTCTTCATATTGTAATTGGGTTTTTGAGGATTGGCTAAGTGTAGCATCCTCGGGTTGGTTAGTGTGTTGTGAGAGCTTTGTTGTAAAGCTGAGAGGCTCTCTACCCGTAAGGTAGAGATGCATAACTCTTCCTAGAGAGGATAGAGTTGGGGTGGCTCAAGGGTAGACTAGGAGAGTTTCCCTTGTAATCATTCAAAGGCTTTTTAGTGGAGTTGTTCAAATTCCTCCGAGGGAGGTCGAGGGTTTTTAATCCCTTTGAGCCAAGGGATTTTTCCTCGTTAAATCCTTGTGCACTTTACTATTTCGTAATTCCCTGGACCCCACACTAGAACTGTGCGAAAAACTGCCACGGTTCCACACACACACAATTCACCCCCCCTCTTGTGTTGCTAACCGTTTCATCACTAACCTTCCAGTGCTATGTACCATATGAGATGATCTCTAGTCCCACACAATAGATGGGATATTTATAGGACTAGTTTAATGTTGTAACGGTTGGCCCCTTAATATTCTAATAACTCATTAATTATTACAATAATTATGGTAATATTTAGAACAATTTATTAGGCCATTTTCCGTTACAATATCTTTACTGTTATCTCTTAATTTACACGCACCGGGGGTCATAACCGTTGTATCACTTCAGTGTAATATATTTAATTTGACCCGTCACCAAAAGAGATATATTATCCTGGTATCTACACTTTTATTATTTCATGAATAGCCACTGTATTATTTATCTGATGGTAAACACATTTTAATTAATTACATATTAGGCCCCTTTTATTGTTTTCCAACAATCTCCCACTGGGCCTTATATGTAATTCTTAATAAAATGTGTTATCTTTATGAGCTCAAATATACCATCGTATAAAACAACATCCTTAAACAATCCGGTCCATCAGTCACACTAATATAGAACCATTGCAGCATTTTGTTATGTTAAACATAACTATACCATCAATGATTACTAATATCAATATAACATAATGACATAGATCAATCATGAAATGTGTAGCATGAAAATTACATGAAATGTGGCATGTGTACATGTCAATTTTCAACTGACCCTTCTTTAATAAACTTTAAACTTTAATAACTTAATTGTTCAGAATACACGGAATGTCTAACTTTATTCTGATCAGAAAACAAATACATCAAACATAACTTATAAACTCCCACTAAACTCGATGTTCCTTAAAATCAATGACTCCCAAGTGAGCAGTGTGCTCATGAAAAACTTTTGGTGGGAGACCCTTGGTTAAAGGATCCGCTAGCATGGAGTTTGTACTTATATGTTCAATAATAGCGACCCTTTTATTATGAACCCTTTCTTTAATAGCTCGATATTTCACTTCAATGTGTTTTGTCTTACTCGAGCTGTTGTTGTTGTTAGAGTAAAGCACTGTAGAATTGTTGTCACAAAATATCTTGATAGGCTTTGGTACTTCATTTAATATTTTTAGCCCATCAATAAAATTGCGCATCCATATTCCGTGATTTGAAGCTTCAAAACAGGCCAACAACTCTGCCTCCATATTTGAGGTAACTATCATATCTTGCTTAACACTTTTCCAAGATACAACACCACATGCTAGTAGAAAAACATAACCTGAAGTAGATCTACTAGTGTCTTTGCAGCCAGCAAAATCAGAGTCGGAGTATCCAACGACCTCCAAATGATCTGATTTTTTTTATATGTAAGCATATAGTCCCTTGTTCTCTTCAAGTATCTCATAACTCTTTTGGCCGCCACCCAATGAGCCATTCCTGGATTACTGAGATATCTGCCTAGCATCCCAACAATGTATGCAATATCCGGACGCGTACAAACTTGGGCATACATAAGACTTCCTACAACAGATGCATAGGGAATCTTTTTCATTTCTTGAATTTCCAGGTTTGTTTTAGGGCACTGATCGAGACTAAACTTGTCTCCTTTAGAGATAGGGGTATCACCCGGTCTACAATCTTCCATGCCAAATCTTTTAAGCACCTTATCGACATAGTTCCTTTGTGATAACCTTAAGATTCCTTGTGATCTCTCACGAAGGATTTCAATTCCTAATACAAAGGAGGCTTCACCAAGATCTTTCATTTCAAAATGTTTTGATAGAAATCTCTTGGTTTCATGCAACATGCCTATGTCATTGGTGGCAAGAAGAATGTCATCAACATATAAGACCAAGAAAAATAATTTACTCCCACTGAACTTTTGATATACACAATCATCTACATCATTCATCTTAAAACCAAAGGATAAAATGACTTGATGAAATTTGTGATACCATTGACGAGAAGCCTGTTTTAGCCCATAGATGGATTTTGTTAATTTGCAAACCATTTGTTTTGGATCTCCTATCACAAAATTTTCTGGTTGCACCATATAAATAGTTTCATCAATGTCACCATTGAGAAACAATGTCTTAACATCCATCTGATGAAGCTCTAAATTAAAATGTGCAACTAAAGCCATAATGATTATAAAAGAGTCCTTTGATGAAACCGGAGAAAAGGTGTCTTTATAATCAATTCCTTCCTTTTGAGTATAACCTTTAGCTACAAGACGAGCTTTATATCTCTCCACATTACCCCTTGAATCCCTTTTGGTTTTAAAAATCCATTTACAACCAATGGGTTTACAACCTTCAGGTAATGGGACGAGTTCCCAAACTTTATTGTCTTGCATAGATTTATACTCCTCATTCATTGCAACAATCCATTTTTGAGCATTTGAACTTTTCATGGCTTGATGGAAGTTGATTGGATCATCTTCCATAACACCATTTTCTTCCTCATGTTCTTGAATAAACACAAGGACATCGTTCATTGTATCCATGCTTGACACATGTTCTTGGAGATATACAACATAATCACTTGGAATTGTGTATCTCCTTTCTCTAGTGGATCGCCGCAATGGCACATTTTCTTGTTGCACTTGTTCTAGAGGAAGTTGAGTTTGTTCATTTTGAACAATTTGTTCAGTTTGGAAAGGAGAAGATGAAATAATGCCTTGTTGAGGTTCCTCATTAGTTTCCAAAGAAACATCCATATGAATTGGTTCAGGTATTGAAATCAATTCTTCCTCAAAGACAATATCCCTAACTTTATTCCCCCCCCCCCCCCCCCCCAAACTCAACATCCTCGAAAAATATGGCAGTTCCCGTTTCAAAAATATTTTTATCCTCAGGATTATAAAATTTATATCCCCTAGATCGTTCCGAGTAACCAATAAAGTAACTACCAACTGTTTTGGGTTCCAGTTTCTTTTCATGTGGCCTATATGGCTTTGCCTCAGCTGGACAACCCCAAACTTGAAAATGCTTTAAACTAGGCTTTTTACCCGTCCAAAGCTCATAAGATGTTTTAATAGTTGCTTTAGTTGGCACTCGATTAAGAATGTAAGCTGCGGACTTTAATGCCTCACCCCAGAGGGATTCCGATAAGATAGAATGAGAAATCATACTTCTTACCATTTCTTTAAGGGTTCTATTACGTCTCTCAGCTACACCATTCATGCTAGGTGAACCCGGCATGGTGTATTGAGGGACAATCCCACATTCCTCTAGAAATTTGGCAAAAGGCCCTGGACGTTGTTCACCTGAGCCGTCATACCTTCCATAGTATTCACACCCACGGTTGGATTTGACTTTCTTTATGCGTTTGTTGAGTTGATTCTCAACTTCCGCTTTGTAAGATTTAAACACGTCCAAGACTTGAGACTTTTCATGTATAAGGAACAAGTAAGCATATCTAGAGTAATCGTCTGTGAATGACACAAAATATTGTTGACCATTCCATGAAGGAGTAGGAAATGGCCCACAAATATCAGTGTGTATTAATTCTAAGATATTCGTAGCTCTATATGATCCTTTTTTCTTATTTTTTGTTTTTTTTCCTTTAATGCACTCAATACAAGTATTGAAGTCAGAAAAATAAATGGAATCAAGTGTTCCATCAAACACAAGACGTTTAACTCTATTTTTAGAGATGTGACCTAATCGTTTGTGCCATAAAAAACCAGATTGTGCATTATCAACCTTTCACTTAGTGCCTCGGGTGTCAGTATTCAAAACATTATTATATGAAGTTATTGTTTCAAGCATGTAAAGATTGTCATATGACATAAAAGAACCAGTCCCCACAATACTTGAATTTAAAGACAAATTAAACCGGAAGTTTCCAAAGGAACAATGATAACCTAATTTGTCCAAATAAGAAACAGAAACCAAATTCCGCCTAAATGACGGAACAACAAAAGTCTCTTTTAAATCCAAATAGAAACCAGTAGACAATAACAATCTAAAATGCCCAATAGCCTCCACATCCACTGCTTTGCCATCTCCCACATAGACGCATCTTTCAGCATCATTTGGCTTGCGGTGGCTCAGACAACCCTGCATAGAAATACTGATGTTAGATGTTGAACCGGAGTCTAACCACCAAGTATTTCTAGGCAATGAAGCTAAATTGTTTTCAGTACAAACCAAGGTAAGGACCGTACCTTTCTTCCCTTTCTAAGCGTGATACTTGGTACAATCCTTCTTCATGTGTCTAGACTTCTTACAGAAGAAACAGGTTGTTTCACCTTCCTTATGTTTCTTCTGTACTGGATCTTTAGCAGCTTCGTTCTTAATGGGAGTTCTCTTCCTCTTTTTACTCTTATCCTTAGAGGTACTAGCCAAGTGAGCACTTTCTGTCTTATTTTGTTTCATCCTCTCTTCCTCTTGCACGCAATATGAAATGAGCTCATTAAGAGACCACTTCTCCTTTTGGCAGTTATACCTAACCTTAAAAGGATCAAATGCAATAGGAAGAGAGTTCAAGACTATGTGTACGAGAACATCTTCCGATATCTCAATCTTAAGTGTCTTGAGCCTAGAAACATTATAAGACATTTCCATAATATACTCCCTAATATTTCCTTTTCCTGAATACGTTTTGGAAGTAAAGTCTTTTAATAACATGCCTATTTCAGAAAGAAAATCCTTGGCATTAGTAACCTCATCGGATACAGCACCCCTAAAAGATTCTAGAATGCCACACTTTATGATCATAAGACTTGAGCGATTCGAGCGATCCCACTTCTCATAGTACTTTTTTTCATCTTGGGTACTACCATCCGTAAGAGAAGCATGTTGCTCTACCCTTAATGCTAAGTCAAGATCCATGCAGCCCAAAGTTATTAGAATATTTTCTTTCCATTCCTTAAAGTTAGTACCATTTAGGATAGGGATGGAGTTGAGATTGACAGATATGCTCGAAAAAATAACTGTAGAAAGAACAAGACAATAAACATATATTTTAGTGAAATTGTAAAATGTTTTTAACCCATCACAAGATACCAAATGCACCATTAGTATTTCATCGTTGGACAATAATACTAATTGCTAGTGGTACTCTTGTTGTAACAATAAAATATAACAATAATACATATAAAAGAAAAATCCACCTTTGGGTTGATTTTTTTTAAGTGCAGCCTTATAATTGTTATATATTTATTATAACCAAAATGTGTATATATATATATATATATATATATATATATATCTTGATAAAATATTAATCTTCCTTTGGGCCGATTAATATTTACTTGAACTATATACAAAGTATATACTATGTTTAATATTTTATATAAGCAACTTACATAATATGATCACTTTGGTGACATATTATTTCTATATACCCATTTAAATATTAAGCTCCTTTTATTTTACAATTTCATCACAGTTCAAAAATTCTTACCGCAATACTTCTATAAAAATTGGCTTACGGCAATCATATAAATGTACATGAATCGCGGCAATTTGATTCACAATGTTTGATAATAATTATAGCATGAAATTAATCAAACTTAAAAAATTGCTAGCCGGTTTAAAAAATCAATAGTTCAGCAGCAACTTACAGTAATTCATAATATTGTATGATCAAATTAATGAAAAACAAACTTTAAATATCAAGATTTTATCCAGGCACACAACTCAATGGCATGGCAGGAGACTTTTGAGCACAAAAGAAAATGGATGCCACTTGATTATCTTTGAGCACCATATTTTCATATATGTTAAAATATTGATTTAAAACCACAGTAATACGGAGTATTATGTTAATGCAAAATCGCAGAGGCATTAATAAAAAAATGCGATCAATGCATGAAACAGAAAACGTGGGATCGATTAGAACAAATGAAGCATTTAATTATGGATCAACATGCACCGAAAAAATCAGACGCCATGAATCGATTTCATCCAATCGCTTAATCAAACACGCAAAGAAAAATGATACAATGTTTCATGCGAATATGAATCCGGCAGAGGACAAAAATTGCAGCAGTGATATCACAAAAAATCCTCACTAATTCATCACTTAATAATCAATAATAACATGCCGCACAAGACTCCAATAAAAAAAACAAATTCCAGACAACACGATGAACACACGTATGGAATCAAAAAACAATTCCATGGATCTATAATGGTAGGCTCTGATACCAATTGTTGGATATTCATACATATATCAACAAAACTCCATATGTGATATATATATATATAAATATATAATAGCTAAATCCATATAAATCCATGAAATCAAATATGTATGAACTAAAATTATAACAATACCTTGAGAATTCATTTGTATTAACACTTTAAGAAGACCCAGAATCCAACACGATTGATCGGTCTAACCTTCCAGTGCTATGTACCATATGAGATGATCTCTAGTCCCACACAATAGATGGGATATTTATAGGACTAGTTTAATGTTGTAACTGTTGACCCCTTAATATTCTAATAACTCCTTAATTATTACAACAATTATGTTAATATTTAGAACAATTTATTAGGCCATTTTCCGTTACAATATCTTTACTGTTATCTCTTAATTTACACGCACCGGGGGTCATAACCGTTGTATCACTTCAGTGTAATATATTTAATTTGACCCGCGTCACCAAAAGAAATATATTATCCTGGTATCTACACTTTTATTATTTCATGAATAGCCACTGTATTATTTATCTGATGGTAAACACATTTTAATTAAGGTGACAACTCCGGTACCCATTTAAAAAATAGGGTACTGTACCGTACCTATCATTCACTTGATTGGTCTACATCATTATATCATTTTTAATTTAGATTTAAATAATTCAACTCTAAAATTCTTGTTGGTCCATGTGGACAAAGGTACGGTACCTTATGGGTACCATAGAATCTACCTTTAATTAATTACATATTAGGCCCCTTTTATTGTTTTCCAACACAAATTGCATAAAACACTTAAGTTGATGAGTGATTTTCCTAAATAAGTAATGTTTAAGGCCAACCAACCCTCTTTAAAACTGGCAGTGGTAGGGGGCCATGTTAGGCCTTGCATGCCTCTATATCTCGTTCTGCTGGTAAATGTAGCACATACAAGTATACAACATCTGTGAACCACGTAAATCTAATTTTCGTTCTTGTTTGAATTCTTCATTGTTTCATGCTACTTCTATAACATGATCTCATGCTTGTCATATTTTATATAACAAATTACATCTTCACTTTCTTTCCTGTACAAAGTGCGCACAATTATATTAGGTCAAGTTGTGTTAGAGAAAATCCTTGTATATGAATTTTTTTGTCATAGACAAATCGTGTCTGTGCCAATACATTCATTTATGCACCTATAAACATCGTTTGAGCTAATTAAAAAAGACAATTAGTTATTTACAACAATCATTTTTTGCCTGTGACATTGGATTTTCTTAATATACATATAGGTAAAATTGTTTTTTAAAGGTAAAATTGTTTTCTAGTTGTACTAGTTTAGTTCACACATGCGTCAATTTACTTGTTTATATCTTCTACTCATGCAGGGATCTATTGAAAAGTGGCGAAGATGTAATTATGTGCAGTCACCGAATGCCTATACAACCACAACCATGGATTCGACTCAATATCATGCAAGTCTTAGTCGTAAAGGATATACTTCACTCATTTATAGGTACATTAATGAGTTTTCAAATTACTTATCCATTAATTCATGGAAACTAAAAAGAGATATTGATCCATGGCATGAATAAATCTCATAAATTACTAACAACCAAATGCATCATCTAAATAACATAGTAGTTTTTTACTCGAATGGTGTATAAGGTTCCTCATGCACCCGAGTGGATGTATGATATAGAGATATACAGACTTATAGTACGTGTACGACCTCAAAAGCAAATCTCCGTGCAGTGTGTGTACTAATAATAAAAAATATTAACAATAATAATAGTAAATATATTATTTAATTTAATGTTGTAAATACTAAATTTTCGTGTATGTATATATTCAACATTATCGGTTGAATTGAATAATTTTAATATATGTATATATAATTATAAGTTGCCTTTTATTTTTTGAGAAAGTTTTTGCTGAAATATGTGAAAATTAGTTTCAATTGAATTGTTTTTATGTTAGTAAAATAATACTATTATTTAAAGAAGTTGTATTGCTTGTTTTGAATTTATGTAAATACAAATCACTTCTATTTGTCAAAAAATATTATTTATTTATCTATAATAATAATTATAACTATTATAATTTTCAACACATGTAGTGGTGATCATGATCTGATGGTGCCATTCCAATCGACGGAAGCATGGATTAAAGCATTGAATTACGATATTATTGAGGAGTGGAGACCTTGGTCTGTAAAAAGCCAAATTGTTGGGTAATAATTTCATTGTTATACATCTCTTATTTTGTGTTCAAATACAAAGGGCTTCCTAGGTGAAAAATAACAATTGATATTTTCCATTGATGAGGAAAAATGATATGATGGAAGATATCAAGTTTTTCTAAGAAATTCAGTGACATTTTAAGTTTTTATGAAAAACATACAAAAAATAGAGAATATAAGGGCATTAGAATACAAGATAAAATGTGTATAATTAATATGTGTAAGTAATATTTTCTAACACTCATCACTGCACTTTTATGTATTAACAATACAAATGTGTTATAAAAATTTGAAAATTATCTTGTGAGATTTATTCTAAAATATTACTATCAAAGAAGTAATGGACAAAAATATGTGTTCAAAATTATATCATAGTGACTATATAGTCACTAAGATGTAAACTTTGAATAAAAATGTAGCCACTAAAAGTTACTAAGTAACATGTTTGTCCACTACCCGATCTCTTATTTTCATCATATATTAGGAATTATTTCTTATCTTGTCATCGTGTATTTTGATTAAAAATTCATCTAATCCTTCCATTTTAAGATCAAAATTTATTTTTATTTTTCATGGGAACACTATTTTTATTTGAACCGGCACACACACAATGTAAACTAAAAGTGTCATGACTGTTAAATGAAATAATAATGATAGTTAATGCCAGTTGTCTTTGATTATTGGTTTGCTAATTTAATTTGAGAATTGAGGAGTCCTTTTGCTGGTTATATTTTGGTTTGGAGACCGTTTTTGCAGCTTCCTGCATGGGCTACAAAATGAGGGAATGCTTTTGATGATTTTATCTTGCATAATTAGTGATGGTTTGTTTTATCTTAGGGTGTTTTTGGTGTGAAGCTTCATGCAATTTATTTTGATGCTTAAACTTGTGAGGCACGTACCCTTTTGATGACTGTAAGTTAGTTATACTTGCCATTTAAAAAGAAATTTTTTGTAGAAAGGATTCAACTACATAGAAGTAGAAAGACGACGCGGTAACCAGACGTTAACAACATGTGCACAATTTATGTGAAGGAGCAAATATAACTTTGATGTATCTCTATCAATCTATTTAGCCTTTGATTTTGGAGGCTTCCAATTGAGATAACTCTATTTTTAGAATTCAACTCTTGAGCAAATATATTACTAGGAATATATGCACGTAGTTCACCTACAATGGTCAAAATCCAGTCAAGATTATTGAATCTAGAAATTGAGTGATACTTCCTTTTATTGGTGTTAAAGCAATAGATTCTTTCTTTGAATTGAGTGATACATTAAACTTATATTATCTCCTTAAAATTAACTATGTAGATATTCTAAATATCTTGTAACTATCCTTACGTAGTAGTTACCAAATGGGACTCTTACTTCCTTATTTTTTGTACTTACTTTAAAATATAGTAGTTGATGTTTTCTACATTTTTTGTAATGAAAGATGATTATAAGTAACTGCAAAGAATCTACAACCTTCAAAACGAATCGATTCTTAAGCTTAAGAATCACAATAAACTATGACTGATTTATTAGGGAGTCTTGTATGCAGGTATTTTCCATCCAAATTTTGTAAGTATATTTTCATATTTAGAACTTGTTACTACAAAAATTATGTAGATTAACTAAACGTACAATTTCTCTAATTTTCTATTAATCCAAATTCATTAAAGTCATTGTATGCTTGTCAGTTTTGTTAATTATTTGTATTACATTCATTTGTCATACTACCTCCGTCCCTTAAAACTTTGCCAAATTTGACCGACACGAAGAATAATAAAGTAAAAACTGTGTGGTTGAGGTTTGTGTAGAGGAAAGAGAAATAACAGAAACCACAAAATAATTGATTAAAAGGGAAAGTGAAAAAGTTTTTTGAAACGTCCTAAAAAGGAAAGATTGACAAAGTTTTAAGAGATGGAGGGAGTATAATTGAATTCTATCTGGATGTGTACACATTGTTGTTATTAAATTATTTATGTTGTTCCTATTGCTATTGCTATTGCTATTGCTATTGATATTGCTATTGTTATTGATATTGGTATTGCTATTGCTATTGCTATTGCTTTTACCATTATCATTACCATTACCATTACCATTACGATTACCATTACGATTACCATTACTATTACCAATACTATTACCATTACTATTACCATTACTATTACCATTACTATTACCATTACTATTACCATTACTATTACCATTACCATTACCATTACGATTACCATTACGATTACTATTACTATTACTATTAATATTACTATTACTATTACTGATACTGATACTGATACTGATACTGATACTGATACTGATACTGATACTGATACTGATACTGATACTGATACTGATACTGATACTGATACTCATACTAATACTAATACTAATACTAATACTAATACTAATACTAATACTAATACTATTACTAATACTATTACTATTACTATTACTAATACTAATACTATGTTGTTGTTGTTGTTGTTATGAAACACAGGGAGCTGGACATGTAGCCATAGAGTACAAGCGTGAAGAAGGAGTTACTATGATAACAAGATGGTTATATCACCAATCTTTATAAAATGATGAAGAAATTTGTATGGTATATATACCATGCTAACAAGTCGCATGATACATATATTTGTAAGGAGAGTTGTATAGCCATTAAAAAATTACACAATACGAGAACTGTGTTGAGTTGTAAATTGGTATATTTTTATCTCATTTATTAGTTTTTTCATAGGTGTTGTGTGAATGATTAAATTAAATGACTTTTTTTGCAAAGAAGAATCACAAAATATAAATTTCATGTGTGGAATGTTGCAGCATAAATGCCCGTGTGTGCCCAACGTTGCAGCATAAATGCCCAACGTTCATATGAACGTTTTGGGCTCTTTATTGGCTGGAATCAATGTCCAACGATTAGGACATTGATGTCCAACGTTCACAAGTCTTAAACAGCCATTAACACATCATAATCCACCCTTATAAAAGGCTAGCAG